GCCACCCCCTCCGTACGAAAACCGAAAAAGTCTTTCAAAGGGTAACTCCGGTGTTTTGCCTAATGTTCACCGATTTACTTTTAGCATGTGTTTTCATCGGTACCGTGGTGCTATGCGCCAAAGTATACAACTGTAAGTCAATCAGTTTTCAGAAAAAAGATGATAAATTTGTAGCAAATTTTTAAAACACACTTGTAAATGCAGGCCACATGTGTATTTAAAATAGGCCACTACTCTTTTTCGAAAGCTTCACCATTACCAGCAGACTGGTAGCACGGGAGTTCGTCTAAGAAGCAAGGACAACGCGAGAACAGTTCGGTTTCGCCAGCTTCCTGCAGCGTGTTGGTAATCGTTGAGGTCGGGTCTCACAGTAATAAGCAACAAATAAATCGATTCACGGCACGTCAGATGTTTCGCGCGCCACCGGGACGAACGCAAAAATTGATGCTTCCGTGCTCAGATAGTAGCTGCAGTCATCGTTGATTGATATGTGGAATGTAACGTCCCAAAACCACCATATAATTATGAGAGACGCCGTAGTGGAGGGCTCCGGAAATTTCCACCACCTGGGGTTCTTTAACGTGCACCCAAATCTGAGCACACGGGCCTACAACATTTCCGCCTTGATTTGAAATGCAGCCGCCGCAGCCGGGATTCGAACCCGCGACCCGCGGGTCAGCAGCCGAGTACCTTAGCCACTAGACCACTGCGGCGGGGCTGCAGTCATCGTTGAACTTGTCACTGATAAGTATAGACGCGCCATCACAGCTAGATTTCACGCTGCATGACATTGCCAACTTGCTTTTCGCGCTATGTTTACACCAGGACTAGCCGTGGCGCGGATGTAGCAGATCTCGGAACGTCACCGGCGACGAATTTTCGTGACGTCATTTGATACCCACCTAGGATGACAGAGCAGTTCGTGGTTTCGGTTTTCGTTCTGACTCGCAGTTTATTGTCTAAATGAAAATTTTTGAGAATGCCTGAGCAAAACGAACCAATTTAGCTTTTACAGGAGTGTCAATACTGTTTGAAAGCTGCATTATCCCAGTGTGGTCAAAAATGCACCAGAGTTAGCCTTAAAAATAGTGACCATATAACTATATTTGATCTATTCCCAAGCACTACCATACTCGTTTTAGTTTTCTCGACCCCATTACTTTTATTTCAAAGCACCAATACAAAATTTTTTTATACTTGTCCCAGTCCTCCTTCAGAACAAGCCCAGTGAACGTTGTCAATGAGACCCGGTAGATCCATCATGATTTACTGGAACGGTTGGTCAGTTGGTGCCATCAACTAAATACAGCCCTTTGGTCTTGTCAGCGCGTGTCTTGCATCGCTGAGTCTCGGCATGACTTGATGTAACGAGCGAAATCGGCTGCAGGGCGCGGTGAGCAGTAGATTTGCTGTATTCTTGCGTGTGAGTGGGAAATATCGGTGTGTCCAGCCATCGGGTCGTCGTGTAGGGCCTGAGGGAGCTTTGGTTCTCACTGCGAAAGGAGCCACGAGAAGGTGTTTAACAAAAGGGAACGACACGTTTTTTAGGAGAAAGCTTGTTCACGGGAACGGCTTTTTACAAAGCACTTCCATTCCGCTAGAGCTCGGCGTCGCACAGCAAAGTCTTCGGCACTTTTGCTTCCCATGAAGCAACCGTCATCCCGGTCGTGATGCAGCGGTGGGCAGGTGGGCTCGCTCACAAGAAGTCCGGGTAGGAGTACTTTGTTCTGAACTTATATTGATTATTTCATATGTGTGGTTCAACATTCCAAAACCGCCATATTATTATGAGAAACGCCGTAGTGGAGGTCTGGGGAAATTTTACCACCTGGGGTTCTTTATCGTGCAGCCAAATCTGATCACACGGCCCTACAACATTCCCGCCTTCATCGGAAATGCAGCCACCGCCGCCGGGATTCGACCCCACGACCTGCGGGTCAGCAGCCGAGTATTTTATCTACTAGACCTCCGCAGCGGGGACTTCTGAACTTCTAAATGACGGTAACGTCGAATTCTCCATGTCACGGGCTCTACCATTCCAGGCGACCCCAAAGGTGTTTGAGTAGGCAAGGCAGCACAGCGTGGTGGCCGGTCAAATTTTTGAAAGGCCCGCCAAGAAGCTTGAGGTAATCAACGTCCTCATACTCTTTTTATGAGAATGTGCGCAGCCCCCGAAAAAGTGTGCGGCCTGCCTGTCTTTGGCAAGCAGTCTCTTGCGCGACCCCTTGGTGACCGTTGTCTGAGTTGTCCTCGTCGTTCATGGCAACGTGTTCCGGTGGTAGCCCAGCCAACCTTTTACTGCGTCGAGGGGGTGGTAAAGGTCGAACGTCCAGTGTTACGTACCAAGCACCTCCCTTTTAACTGCAACGATGGAATGCAATTCTATAAAAGGTGGAAAGTGAGAAATGCGTAGCGCAGCGCAACGGACAGGACGGTCAGCCCCACAACTGCTGGCTGCCCCCTCACGCTTTTTCTCCTCTTCTTCGCTTGGGTATACTCTTGTCGCACGACACTATGATGTTTCGTGACTAGAGTCTATCGAATGCTTGACGACCTTCAGAAGCAGACCTTTACTTGCAGTAAGAGAGGGTTAGTAAGCTAGTCTTGCTTGTACCTAGGGAGGCTCGAGTTGGCGTAAAAATCTGTTTCGGAACTTTTATTTATTGTAGCTAGTTTGGTAGCCCCGGATAGGCAGGAAGCATCGTTGATGTTCACGAATTCCTCAAATTAGGCGATTGTGGTACATGTATGCTGACGTGCGTGCATTCCTGACTGAAGTTTGATAGCCATTTGTTTTGCCATGACGTAACTGAGCGTTGCCTCCTGCAACGAAAATGAGACGGTTCACGAGAACGTGCTCATCGTCTTCGATTACGCATTTAAGGTTTTTGGGTGTTTCGGTGCCGACGGAAACTGAGACGTGGAAGACGTGCTACACCGTACCTGCGATGCGGTACGGTGCAGCAGCCTGCCGAGGGCGACCGAACGAACGTTGAGGTGTACAATGAGAAGTGTCCAAGTCGTCGACGATCTCGTCTGGTTTCTCACCTCGTTGTGGAGGCGTAGCAGTAACGGCAAATCCATTTGGGCGCATCTGGTGCTACTGGCCGCGACGGTAGCTGTGACCTGCTTCCCCAAAGTGGTACAAAAGCGAGGGGTCAGCAGCGGCACGCCAAACAACGGCTATCATTGGCATGCTACGTTGTTCCCTAGGTGGTGGTGGTGGTGGCAGCGGCGTTTGAAGACGGTAGTGCGGTTGTGTGCATCTTGCGGTTGCTAGAGAGAGAGGACACGACGACGAAATGCAGCAGGGTAGCTCATCTCTTCCAGCTGATAATTTTAAGTCATTCCCGAACTTGCTTGAAGCTGCGGTGAAGTTATCAGCTTGTGTGTCTCCTTTCACAAAATTGCTTGGTTAGTGCATGAATTCAGCGTAGTTTGTTGTTCAAGAGGGCCCGTTGTACTGCCTTGTATCTCAAGTGTCTTTTCGATGGCGCTGGTAAAGATTTTATCGACAGTCTTGGGTGGCTTCCGGACCTATGCTTGTGTGTTGCACAGCTGTCGCGCCACACTTTGAACCAGAAACTGGTGCTTTCTTTCTTGAGCCACAGTGGGGTCGGCCTGGAACAACCTTCTCGTCATTTCTTCCGTGAACAGTGCCACGTTCTCAATTGTCAGCTGCGCACGTTTTTGCAGCAGATGTTGGGTCCTCTCTTTGCGAGGAACATTGTGTGAAATGTGGCGAAGAACGTGGTGTGAAAGGTGTCCCACGTTGTCATGCTTCGCTCTTGGTTCTTTAACTATAGGTCCTAGCGGTGTCTTTCAAAGAGAGATAAACATGTCGTAGCTAATCCTCGTCGCTCCAGGTAACAAAAACGGCGACGTGGTTACGTTCGAGCCAGCTCTCCAGGTTTTCAAGTGATGACAAGCGCAAATTTTGGGGCTCCTAAAGTTGCTCTAGAAGGATCAGTGATGCTGGCAGAGGAACAGTTATTGTTTCTGCGGTAGAGGTAGTGGCCTTGATTTTTCTAATCTGATCGGATAGAGGCCTACACTTTAGAGGTAGCCCTCGTTGCCAGCAGCTAGCTGACTGATCTAAGTGGTCGTTGGTGTCTGGGTGCTTGCTGGGTGCTTGCTCGTGGCTGGAGGGGGGGGGGGGCGTTCGTTCTATGCACCGGGAAGTACCTCCACCGGATGTCAAGTGGTCATGACGTTGAAGACGGCGGCAGCCGGCGTATTCGAAAAGGAAATTCTTTTTTTGATCGAAACAAGTGCCAGTACACAGAAGGACAGACTAGGCAAAGCAATGTACGCGGCACACTAATATTGCCGAACAGAGATCCAGTCATCAAAATCTTTGAAACCTGTCAAACGATTCGGTATTCGGTACTCATTCACTTCCGTGAAATATTCCAACACTATTACTAGCGGCCAGGCGAGTTCCAGAAAAAACTAATATTTGCGTTGTTTGCGTTATCACATCCGAATGTTCTAAAATTATATCGATGATTGTTACTCATGCAGAGTGGTATGCCCAATACAGCTCTAACATGTGTGTGATGGGCTCATAACAAAACATGAGAAACAAGTGCGGCAGTAGAAACGCCTCACATGTTTGAGTTCCTGCGCAACGAGTGCAAGGACCAGAGCACTGCTATATTGAACTATAATTTTTTGATACGTATAGTTTTCATTTGTGCCCGGCCTTTGACGCTAAAAACTACGTAACAACCTCGAACAATTCTTCCAAACATAAGTCCTCACGAAGTTGCGCACACACAATCTGAGTCGTTCTTGATGAACGTGGGCTGGTAACACTGTGTTTTCTTGAAACGTTACTGTGACAATTGCTTAAAGGTCCAATGTGTATGTCCTTTTGTTGTCGAGAAAGACGACAACGACGAAGTGTATTTGGCGTCAATAACGGCGCTACAGAGCAATGTACATTCAAGAGGTAAGCTTATGTGAAGGTGAAAAGGTAAGAAACGTCAAGAACGTACCATAGATATATCTGGAAATTCCATTTTGGCACTAAAGGTCGATACAGCTATCGATAATATTACCACGAAGGTTATGAGTTGCATTGCGGCCGTGGTATTGTCGCTGGCCATCGCGAAGAAAACGTTTGACCCGTAACAATTGTTGAAAACCACTATTCGGAACATTTATATGAGAAAATTACCAACGTACAATTTCTCTGTAGTATAGCTCTCACAGGTGTTCGTTATCACAATGATGTACTTATTCAACGCTCCGTGCACTTTTGGTCTATTTGAAAAGTCTACAAACATAAAAGGTTCAAAGGACAACACTGGTCTTACTTTAGAGTGCATTGATAATATGCTCGGCCACCTGTTCCGATAGAACAAAAGCAATATAAAATAGACTGATTACCGATACACCAAGACAAAGCCACTGTTGCAAACCGCAAAAATTGTGCATAAAATATTTTGAATATTTGAAAAGACTAATATTGGTCTAGGGTTGCTCCTAACCTTCTGTTTGTTTGACTGTGGCGAGAAATGCTAGAAATACTGCCTATCTGAGAAAGGTCGTCTCTCAAGAGAGATCTCTAGGACCACTAAAACACCTATAGGCAATGAGTGTACACTCGTGCAAAGGGAAATGCATTATACGCTCACTCTATATTTAATTTCAAAGCAGTTTTAAATACCCTCTTAGCGAAAATAGTGTGTGTCTATTGCCAAGTTGCCTAGATGACCATCACCATAAAAAGTAAAAAAAAAACGAATAGAATCTGCTTAGCATAGTGAAATCTTGAAACTTGAGTAATCTGTGATGTCGAGTGTGTTAATTACTGGTATAAATACCGAGCTTGGAGAATATTGTAATCAAAAGAAACGATTGACAGGAACCCGAAGTGAACGACGTACATCATAAACTTGTGGATCACACCCACCATTGAAGTTTGGCTGAGAATCAGGTTTTTTAACACAAAAGAATATATATACACTTTGCATGCTTGTCAAAAGAGTATTGATAAAAGTATTGATGTTTGTAAATTATTTCTGACAAAAAAGTTAAATGAATTAGTTTCTACTAAAACAGCAATACGAAATTGATACCAAAGAAAATTTTCAGTAGTCTGCATTGGTTAACTGAGAACCTTTTGGAATTGAGCTTATTCAGTACATGTATTCGACTGTGCAATGAAATTTAGCATGGCCTTGCACACTTTCCCGTTGCTTTCTCCTAAGTGATTTGCACCTAGGGATAGTAAATTTGACGTAGTAAATGCTACTGTAATGATTTGTAACAGAATTTCTAGTGATACTATTCTTAATGATAAATGTTTTCTACAAGAGATCAAAAAGTATTTCGCAGTTTCCTCTTCTCCACAAAGAGAACAGAATGGGGAGGGAGTCAAGCCTGCTCTAAACAAATAAAAATTGAGTGGCGGAATACGACAGCGTAATCGAGTGATTCAAACTTCTTGGTGTCGAATACGACAAGAGGAAGTTTTCCAGAACAGCTGCTTACTAAGACACAGCAGCTACTAACTTCTGTGCTATCTTCTTCTGCCACCACCACAGTGTGACATTATCCGCTTCCCGCAAAGAAAATAAGTTGTAAAGCATCGTATGAATGCCATGACTTGGAATAACAATGCAAGCTAGCCCAAATATTTGTGTCTTGCTGGAAGCACAAGGGCAAGATAAAATATGCTAGAAAAAAAAACTGACCTGAATCGACATGTTAAACTCTAAATGTCATCGAAAGACGATAGTCTTGAGATTGGAGATAGTGAACAAAACGTTTCTTTAATGTTCTGCGCAAGAAAACCGGTGAATGGTATTCTGGAGGCGCTGCGTTAGAGTGCCTCGAGCGTGTAACAGAGGCAAACAAGCGCATCTAAACACGTTAGGCACAAGTGTCATTTGTCAGTTATCTTCGAAAACGAAGACGTGTGCGACCGCAGGGAAAGTTGCGCGCCAGTCAGAAAGGTGATAAGGTGTAGAATGCAAAGCGACGGGCAGGTGCCACCACCGTGCCGGCGTAGCAAAGCGTTGGAAATACCTTCTTGAGCATCGCGTTCCACTGTCAGCGCAGCGCGTAAAATGCTACAGCACTTTAAGTTACTTGTTTGTGCCTCTTCTAGTGTAAAGGCAGACATACAAAGCATAGACATGTTGTTATTATGTCTGTTGTTATGTGCCTCAAAAAATGTTGTTATGGTGCCTCAGATATGCGCAATATTTGCTTTTTCATTGACAATCGTACAACTATGAAGGCTAACCCTTGAGCAATGTTAATCGGCGCTGCTGAAGGGGTTGGCCGTTTGGTGCCGTTTAAGGTATCGTTAGGGCGGTCAAACAGACAAATGTACAGACAAACAGACCAAACTTTTTTAATCGAAGGTCCCAAAAAAAGACTATCGTCGTTGAAAATTGTGCAGTAGTCCTCAAGCCTCGTTTCACACCACAACGTTCATGTCTTGCGTTCAACGAGGATGGCACAGCTGCATCCTGGGGACGCGAACAACATGCGAAGAGCCTAGTCTACCATAGCGGTGTGACGCTTTTTTTATGGAAAACTGATAAACGTGTAGCCTATTGCGCGTTTTTCTCAAGACCGAAAATGCAGAAAATTAAGAGGAAATTGAAGGAGCTTTCATAGTCATGAAAGAGTGGCACCTAGAGAATAGCAAAAATTGTGTTTCGCGGTAATGACTGAAGCCATTATTATAGTATACATTATTCGGTGTAACACAGTTTCACTTCATAAGAAGTGAAGCTTGAGCGAGCTGGTATGGGTTCATCTTGGTTGAGCAGCGGGCACAAGCGGGCTGTGTCCTTGAAAAGGGGCACACAATTTGTCCTTTTAAAGGACACAGCGACGCTGTACAAGCACAAAGATGAGCGCACCCGAGTCATTGTCAAGGCCGCGCAGATGGCACGCGAACAGGTGTCTTGCATTAGCAAGCCCACCGTGGCTCTGTCCGAGAATAAACAAAGGTTCCTCGAAGGTTTCGGTGCATGCAAGTAGTTATATTATCTTTACTTTTCTGTTTCGTTTCCTTATAGATTTTTCTTTGACCTTTTTCTGTGCTTTTGCTTTTGTTTTTGTTTTTCTCTTACTCATATTCTGCTCTTTGTGCCATATGCTTGTTGTCACGTGGTTACTGTCTCCTCTATATATTTTTGCGCTCTGCGCAATAAACTCCGTTGGAACTTAGCGCTCGTGTCTTTCGTGTCCTTCTTGTTTCTGTGTCGTCGTTTTGTTCTCGTGCTATAACTATCGTCTTTCCCGAACCATCACGTGACTCCGCAGCGCAGTCAACGCTTTGACAGCGCCGACCGTAGTGCTCTTTCTTGAGGTCTTGCCAGGACTGCACAGGAAAGATGAGGTGTTGGCCGCAGCCTCAACGGAAGACCAGAAAGCTCACCAGAGAGCCGCAGAAAGCTCCGGATTACCCTTACGGAGCTTTCTAGAAGGTCGGCTGCCTCACGTCGTTATTTTACGTAGTTTCGCCTTCCGTGTCACCACCATCGTCTGCTTTTGAACTACTGGAGTTTCGCGGCTTCAAGGACAATGCTGGGGATTGGGTGGCGACAATCAGCGCTCTCGGAGATCACCAAGCCTGAACGGACCAAACAAAACGGTGCATGGCCTTAGACCACCTTTGCAATGCAGCCACAGCGTGGCATGAATTAGAAGGCACGCGGCAGCAGTCCGGGTGGACTGGTTCGCCAAGCTCATAGCTGCTCTTAAACGGAATCACCACCCTCTCTCCACGACCACTCAGTCCTACGTGACCTCTACTGAAGATGGAGCCCTGGAGGAGATCCACCTGGAGACTGCAGATGTGGATTGAGCTTACAAAAAAGACAGATTCACAACCAGTTCTTGTACCAACACTCGGCACTGGGCAGTTCCACCTTTCCAGGTCTCAAACTCTGCGTGTGTAACCAACATCATGCCATCTTTGATACACGCCGAGACCATGTCTCTTTCGCAGCCAATGAAGAAGCGACCACCATTGCATGGGCATGCTAGGACGACCTCTTTTCTCAAACGACAGTGAGAGAAACGACCCTCACTTCATGAGCAGCCATCAGGCAGTTTGACTTATCAGAGATTTTTGAGAAAGAAATCCTTGTGGCCTCAAAGCCTAGTGCTCCACTTGCAACGCAGTCAATCGCCGAAGGTTTAAACGCGCACCTACTGCGAAGAGACACACCATTTATAGAAATCAAAGTGACAGACGATGTCCCTATTGTCGAAGGTAAGTTCGTTTCGTTCTGCAGAAAGCCAAGCATGGCTGACCTTACCATTACCTTCCAGTCTGAAAAAGCTGATGTCTACCAGCCCCCACCAGTGGCATGCGAGCCCATGTATGACTACGGGCGCTTCACTCACACCCCACGTATGACGAGAAGCACTTCAATCGGACTGCGAGTGACTCACGTGAGGGCCGCATGGATACCTATGCTGTGGTTTTCTTCACGAGCCCCATCGCTGATCAGCTAAGCGTCAACAAGACCGGAGGAATAGGAAGCAAGAGGTCTTCGGAAACCTGTCCTGCAAGTCAAATACACGTTTAAACTAGTTTGCATCCAGCGTTCAGCACTAACATACCCATTCAATACTGGACCACGAGAGAGCATAACTTTAACCAGCCATGTAACAGCAATTACTAGCCTCTTTTCAATCGCTCGCCTTCCTTTCGTTCTCAATGCGCGCCTCGGTGGATCAGTAGCGAGGGGGGGGGGGACTGCGCTGCTGACCCGTGACTCACAGGAGCGTTTCCAGCCGTATTGGTTGATTTTCGATGGAGGGGAAATGGTAGAAGTCCGTGCACTATGTGATGTCATCATCATCATCATCAGGCTGGCTTCGCCCACTGCAAGACAAAGGCTACTTCCATGATCCGCCAATCAACCTGGTCTTGTGCTTTCCGTCGCCATGTTGCACCCGTGAACTTTTCAATCTCATCAGCCCACCTAACTTTCTGTGTACCCTTCGTGCATTTGCTTTTTTTAAAAATCCAGTCAGTAACCCCTAATGACCAGTGAGTATCCTGTGCACGTGTGACGTGCCCGGCTCATGCCCATTACTTCTTCTTGATTTCAACTATGATATCTTTATTACAGGTTTTTCTCCCTGACCCACTGTGCTCTCTTCTCATCTCTTGAGCTTACACTATCATTTTCCATTACATCATTCGCTGATACATCCCTAATTCAGTCTGAATCC